GATTAGATTAGATTAGATTAGACTTTATTAATCCCACCATGGGGAAATTCTTTGAGAATTATATATGAGAAAAACGTAACGTTACATTTTATATATTTTCAAAATAATAAGATCACCCATATCCTACTCTAATAGCAATTAAAGTAATAAGTTAATATGTATTTATTTTAAAACGAGACTTTAATTTTATTACTGGGATTATCGAAACCAATACATAAATCCAATGAACACTAAAATATATGACAAACGACTTTATTAGGGTTTTACGGCTTTTTGGGGTGACAGTAACTCTGCTGCTGTGAGGATTACTGACTGTCCCATTGTTTTCTTGATGGGTGAGCAGCGATGGCCCATTAACAAAAACGAAAGGTGTGATACGCCAAAAAACGTGCTGCTGGCTGTTAAAGGAGACCTGGCGGTTCTAGTGTTAATGAATGAAGAAACACACAGACCAATTCCATGCAAGTTAAGCCATCCCATGTGATACCACTCAACATTATACATATCAGTTCTATGTCATGTGACAATAAATATTGTCAAAAACTGTACTGTGTACTCAATGAATTTGATTTGACAGGTATTGATTACATGCAATGTTGATACAACTAATAGGCTACTTAAATATATATCACACTAAAAAATTAGATGACATGATCTTCCGGACCTTTGCTTCAAGAATTTTTTTCTAACTGGACCTCTTTAAATTTTAGTTGAATACCCCTGGTCTAGGATGTTGGACATCTCCAAGGTTTCTTGAGGCTCATCCTTCGATCAGCCGTGACCCACCCAATCTCACTGACTGGTGAATCAGCTGGGGGTAGGGAATGCTGTGCAGAGTGGAGGGAGAACCTCCGTGTACTTCCCAGTTGATTCTGGGGTTTGCCAGGGGTGTGTTCTTGCTCCTACTCTGTTGGATGCTTGCATGAACTGGGAGTTGGGCAGGGTCGTGGGGCCCCGCAGCAGTGTGGCATCTGTTGGTGAAGAAAGATTTACTGATCTTGATTTACTTGATGCTGTGATTTTCACGGAGTGCATGGAGGCTTTGATCAGGGCTTTCGAGAGACTGAGCGAGGAGCCTGAGTGTCTGGGATTGCAAGTGTCCTGGATAAAAACCAAGACCTCATCGAGAGATTCACTAAACCTGGCAGCGATCATTCATGTCTCTGGTGACTCTTCCTATGAAGTCAGTAGACCGATTGGGAGATCATGAGTTTGCTGGAAAGGGGTACGTGGTGCTGGCAATATCTTTGCAAGAGGACGAAGGTCCAAGTCATTAGAGTCCTGGTGCTTCCTGTCTTGCTGTATGGCTGTGAGACACAGATGCTATCCAGTGAGCTGAGACAAAGACTGGACTCCTTCGGTACTCTGTTTCTTCGGAGAATCCTTGGGTACCGCTGGTTTGACTGTGTCACTAGAGAAGTCCCGAATGAAGCACATTACCTGTATTGTGAGGGAGCATCAGCTACGGCACCACGACCATGTGATCTGGCTCGCAGGATCCTCGTTGCTGAGGACCTGAGCAGCTGGACCAGGCCAAGAGGCCACCCACGATCCCAAGGTGTTTTGTCATGTGGTGGGTGTGGCAACACACTGCATCAGTGCATGCTCCCCAACCTGACCTGAACTGACCTAGAGTGCATGATGGGTATGTTATTTAGTGGGTACTTAAATTCCATCATCTGCAACTAGAATAGGCAGGGTCTAGGTGTGAACCTGGAAAGGGGGGGGGCATTTTTGCCTCAGGGCCCACTGTATAATTGTTCTGTCACAGGCTTTTCTAACTTGATCTGTGCTACTAGGCCCCTATGCCTGTATGAGCTGTTAGTGTGAAAACAAGTGCATGTATTCATACATTCTGTCACATCACTGTATGCAGTATGTCCAGTCCTCATACCTCAAGGTCATTGCCGCAGTTGAGAATGAGGGCCCAGAGGGTAGCTCGAAGGCCAGTGGGACAACCTTGTCGACTGTATTGCTGTGCAGCTGCACTGTCCTGCTCGCTCACCACTATAATAGAGACCTGCAGAGTTAATTAACCTTGAGGAACTCAAGCACAATTCTCTAAATATACCTAATCATGGACATGAGCAGAACAAATTTCCACCCCTCTTTCCTCCATTTTAGTAAGATGCATTTTTTCTGGCACAAAGAGATGTTTGAAGTTCATACCCACACCCAGAAAACATTTCCCAGGCAAGCCTTGCCATTCATCCATAATAACCCCTAACCCTGAGTAAAAACTCTTAAAACTGTGTATGTTCTTTGTTTTTATGTGCTGGGCTAAAGTTTGATTAATGTGCATCAAGGACATCAATGTTTACATTGTGCTCAATTTATGGTCCCTGTTAAAGAAGCTTCAGAAAGCACACTTAGACAGTCAAAACAGCACCCCTGGAGGTAGTGATGGGTGTACGGCCAAGTTTACACAGCACTAGATCCATAGCCATAAGGGGGTGAAGAGTCTTGCACTGAACCATCCCCCAGCTATCATGTCTGTTCCAGTCCTTCAGCGTGGACAAATATGCGACCAGTCTCAGAATCACAAGGTGTGACACATCTAGGTAGAACCGGGGCTACTCACCTCGCTTCCCCAGGCGAACATGCTCATTTTCAAACAGATCTGTACATGGGTAGAGGAAGGAAAGAAAAGTGAAAAGTATTTGTGGACAAGGATATTTTTCAGATTCTTTCATCAGCCACATAAACAAGTTCTCAGAAAACTTGTGCAAAGAGACAATTTTTATATATATGCATTTTTAATTTGCAGTTGGTTGACAAGAACCACACAATAGCTAAAGATACTTTGTTTCATTTGCTAAGCTGGTATTCACATGCTATAAAAGTATTATAAAAGTACCCTTTCACATGCATTACACCTAATATAATGCATTCTTTCAGCACTGTGGCAGCACCATTACCGACTGTTAATACAAAAATGTTGTGTAAACAGACGTGTTCTCTTTACCTGGTGTGATATGGATGTTGTCATCTATGCCAAGCTGACTTGTTCCCAGACCTAGTTCTACAAAGACTTTTCTCTAAAAAATTAGAAAATTAAAAGGAAAACTTTAATTCTGGGACCACACATAAAAGTATGTGTGTAAATGAAATTGGTTTATTCCTTTTCTACTCATCTTTAAAAAAGCACACACCATCTCAGGGATATTCTTGACATTAAGGGGCACTTGAATCAGGCCCCAATGAGATTTGCAACTGGCCTCATCACTGCTGTCATGGTTGGCGTTTCGCAAACTGATCAGCATCTGAAACCAAGTAACAATTACATTTGTCCCTCCAATCATGTGGTGTGGTCATAGATAGAATGGAGAGAAGTAAAGGAGCTCTACCTCTAAGAAGTCCTTAGGGGCATAAACAGGCCGGAAATTGCTGAGGTCTGTTGAACCAAATGAAGACATAGTAATTTTCCACAAATCAACAACACGCTTCTGCGTGTTTGTATAGCAAGGGTGGTGGTTATCACTCCAAATACCCCAGTATAGTTTACATTTCAACTTGGCAAATGTGCCTAAAAATTATCTTACACTTAAGAGATATCATTGTTATAATATAGTGATTTTATATAAATGTTTCACTGAATAGACACATACTTTTCTCAGCAGACTTGCTTTAGACACAAAACAGACACTGCTGTGTGTACATAGAGTACAAGTAGAACATACTGCAAATGGTTTTATTTGGTATACATAAAAAGTGCAAGTGCTACATGTAGACCACATTACTTTCAAAACTACACCAATAATTTGAGAAAATAAATTTACTTGAACAATGAGAGTTTCAGAAAGCCAATATTGTAGTGGATATAAAATGTCCACACACCCCTGCCAAAAAATGAACATAAGAACATAAATAACACTCTTCAGGTCACCCCACAGATTTTCAACTGGATTAAGGTCTGGGCTCTGAATGGACCATTCCAGAATATTGATCCTCTTTTGGTGGAACCATTGGTTTGTTAATTTAGATGCATGTTTTGGGTTGTTGTCCCACTGAAAGGTGAAACACCTCTCGATCTTCAGCTTCCTAGTAGATGCTTGAAGGTTTTATGCCAAAATAGACTGAAATTTGGAGATATTCATGATTCTAGCCACCTTGACTAAAGCCCCAGTTACAGCTAAAGAAAAACAGCCCCAAACACAATGCTATTTCCACGATTCACTGTGGGTGTGGTATTCTTTTAATGATGTTATTTTAGTGCTAAACAAACCTTTTAGAATTATGGCCAAATAGGTCAACCTTGATTTCATCAGACCCTAATACATTTTTTCCACATGGTTGTAGGAGACTGGATATACCTATTTGCAAAGTTTATTTTGTATTATGTATTTTTTATATTTGGAGTAAAGGCTTTTGTCTTGCTACAACTAGTGTTGTTTTCGTCAACGAACCTTTTTGACGTGACGGAGACGAGACGAGACGCAACGGAAATGCTGGTCATGCGACGATAACTATAACGAAATATATCATGTAATATTGTTGACGAATAAAAACGAGACTAAATTTGGCTTACAAAATAAAAACTATACTAAAATGTCTCTTCATTTTTGTTGACGAGAACAAGACGAGACGTTATTTCCTCTCGTTTAATCGCGTTATTATTATTATGCAAAATTTCTGTTTCCTGTGTCTCCCATTCGGGCGCACAGATGGCGTCACTTCCTAAATACGTATTTGCGGCATTTTTTAGTTTTCAGTGGTGCGTTAGCAGATGGCTGGGAGGAAAAGACGAAGCGACCTTTGGATGCACTTTCTATACATTGAAGTCGAAAAAAAAACAGAATGTCTGGTAGAAAAAAATGGGGAGAAATGCGGCCACAGAATGTCTGGAAAAAACACTACAAATCTCAAACGACATCTTAAGGCATTCCACAATGACATTCAGGTAAGTAAAGACATTAGCGTAACGTTACTTTCTATTTTAGAAAGCTCGTGCCAATTGTGGTTAACATGTTATCGTTAGCAATAGATGTTAGCCTGCTAGCTTTAG